GGGGGGGGGGGGTTAGTGTATCTGAATCAGCTGTGTCAGAAATTTCTAAATCCAAATTTTTAGAGTTTTTGATTAACTTAATAAAGAGTTAGACCGACCAAATATTGTAAGATCGCTTGGGTATAATGCGAAAGAATAAAAAATTCTTTCTAAAAGTAAGCCCTCTACTTCACGAGGCACATTGACTGAATTTTTCATGCGATATACTTGAAAATAGAGCATGAAAAATTGGACAAAATTAGCTATTTAGACATTATACTGAAGGTCCCTGTTTGGTCTTTATTGGCCAAACACCGTGTGGAACTATCCTTTTTTTTGCTGATAACAAAGAACTGAGTCTAACAGTAGTATATCGGCTGTTGTACCTGTTGTGTAACTTTTTTTTGTCTACCAATTGCTGGAAAAAATGGTCTTTACGCTAAAAGTGGCCAACACTATCGAATACTGGACTCGAATGAACAGATCCAAGACTAAGATGATAATCCGACACGTCGACTTAATCAAAAGTTTTTATTCGTCAAGAATTTGGGCATCATCCTTCATAGAATGGCACACATGATTTTTCCAGGCATGCAAAAAGTTTTCAATCTCTGTATGATTTTAGATTCTCCTCTTGGAGAAGGTATGTTAATGTCGACAAAAATTTCTTCAAAATAACCGCACAATGAGCATTTAGTCTATTAGGCCTTGAGATGTTGATCACAACTATGTGATCAGAGGCGGAAATCTTACGTAAGTTTGCAAGATAAGGTAGAACCCACGATTGATCACTCTTAGAGTCTCGAAAGTATTTAGACTAAAGGCTCACCTGAGACGAGTTTCATAGGCAATGAAATCAGTCAGGATGGCGTAGACTTCATTGGAGGGTGTGGGTGTGGGTGGGTGTGGATGTGGGTGAGTGTGGATGTGGGTGGGTGTGGATGGGTGTGGGTGTGGGTGGGTGGGTGTGACTGGGTGTGGGCGTGGGTGGGTGTGGCTGGGTGTGGCTGAGTGTGGGCGTGGGTGGGTGTGGATGTGAGTGGGTGTGGGTGGGTGTGGGTGTAGTGTGTGGATGTGGGTGTAGATCAAGTAATATACCCACACCCACACCCACACCCACACCCCACACCCACACCCACACCCACACCCCACACCCACACCCACACCCACACCCACACTCACACCCACACCCACACCCACACCCACACCCACACACCCCACACCCACACCCATACCCACACCCAAATTTTACATACGGTAAAAAGGGTTTATTATACGTTGCACTTTCATCAACCCTTTTTGGGTTTATTATTCTACGAATTTTTTTTACAGTGCAGGTTGTCTGATAGTTTGTTTATCAAGAAAAAAATGCATCTTTATTAGAACAAAATATTATACCTATATTTTTATTGAAAATTTTTTGAAGTGAAAAAACCGTCAGAGACCGTCAGTTAACCGTGGTTTACCGGCGGTATCTATAAAAAAGTGACGGCATGGGTCATGTTCATATTTATATTACATTAAATTGAAAGCCAACGCCATCTCTTGCTTTTTTTTCTCCATAAAGAAGGTTGAATGTTTCATGGAATGGCGGTTTAGTGAATGTATCTTATCTCCACCCTTTATATCGACATAATTTATTTTTTGTTTGTATTTTACTCGAGCAGTGGACAATAGTACGAAGTCGTTGGGGAAATTGTTCTCGTTTATGGAGAAATGCTTCACCCCACATAAATTCATGCATAACAAGGAGAAATGGAAAGAAAGAAAAAAAATATATATATATACATATAATCTATTATATGATATTGTGCATATACTTGAATTTAAAGGGAAATGGTTTTTCTTTCAGAGGGAAATGGTTTTTCTTTTAGAGAGAAATGGTTCAACAAGGAGAAATGGAAAGAAAGAAAAAAAAATATATATATATACATATAATCTATTATATGATACTGTGCATATACTGGAATTTAAAGGGAAATAGCGTCTGTAGATTAACAAATATTTCTGAGATAATCATCATTAATTGCAACGGCATAATAAGTTTGGATTTTGCTTTAATCGAACTTTTTATACACAGCTACCTGTTTTAAAATATTTTGATGGTTTTTTATTTTGTATTTTGTAGATTGAACCAGTATGAATCCAATGGAACGGTTTCGATCGAATCTGAAAGTAGCATGTATGCTGAAAATTGAACCCGAAACGTGGTTTTCTCCACATTTAGCAGCCTATATTAGGCATGTCGCATCATATTATCAAGTAGATGCACATGCTATGGTATTAGCCATTATAAATGGTATAACCAGTACGTGCCGTTCAACTTATGTTAATCGAACATCCCATTTTATGGTGCCATGTAATTTATATAATATTTTGGTGGCACGTTCAGATTAATATTGATGTTTTACATTTTCTTTTTAAATATTGACAACATAGCTTTTAGTCATACTTGTTTTTTTGTTTTTTTTATAGGGTATAGTAAGTCCAACATTCTTGACTTGGCACAATTAATTGGAGAAACAGCTGCTGTTTATTTTCAGCAATCAGAAGAAAATAAAGAAGATGAAATTCGTGAAGAAAATTCTTCTGAAATATCAGGTTCATCTGTTGTATCAACAGCAACAACAAAAAATGTTTTAAGAAAAAGTATTAAAGTGGTTTTCAACGATGGTACACCAGCAGGAATTTTAAACAACTTAAAGCAATGTGCAGGAACAATGCACTTACATGAAGCTGATGTAACATTAAAAAGTTTTGGTTTATTGCTACCATCACCATTTGATATTACACCATCAAAAGTAGATTCATTTCGTTCAACATTAATGACGCTACATGAAAAACCAAGTCATTTTTGTCGTATTTTAAAAAACGAAGAAATAGATATTTCTGGTTCCAAATTGAATATTTTTGTACGTAAGATATTTTTTTTAAATATAATTTTTTACGTTTTTTAGGGAGCGTCTACCGGTGATTTAGTTGCTGCTGAATTAGTTAGACAAACAGCATCATTATCAGCTGATGCTCTTTTTGAACGTTTTCTCTTATGGCCTTTAGACGGTGAACGAATTCCGAACGAAAAATGTATTACGTCAATTGATTATTCTCAATTTTGTTCATTAGAACAATTTTCAGTTTTGTGTGGGTTTTTTGCCGATCTTATTCTGGAATTAGAACCAGATGGAAAACAGATTTTAGCTGATCAAGCATACGAATTTCGTATAACAGGTATGTACACTAAATGTTTTTCCGAAGAAAAAAAAATGTTCAAGAAGTTTGTAAACTGGAAGATATATTTATCTTATATATCCACTTCTCCTTGTGTGTTTTCCATTTCTGCTTATAGATCGAGAAATGGATAAACTATTTCTCTCAGAATTTTAACCATTTCTCCTTGAACATATCCCTAAGATGAAAAAAAATAAATATTCATTTCTCCTTGTATGTTTTCCATTTCTACTTGGAGGTCGAGAAATGAATGAAGTATTTCTCTTAGAATTTTAACCATTTCTGCTG